ACTTAATATTGGAGAGAATATGACCAAGAACTGTGTGTACACCATTTTTTTCAGTTGTATCAAAGAATATAATGGTGAAACTAGTCACCCCCTATATTATGACTAGAAGAATATCAAAATTCCATAATGAGGGGAGAGACAATGAAATCAGGCATGGCTGATCATTTATGGAAGGAAAAGAACAGTCATCAACCTCTGTGAAAATATTGAACAAAGAAGAACAATGGAGAGTTAGATATCTGAAAGAATCAGCACATATGCTAGGAGGACCTCCTTAGTAGGCCTAGCATAGAAATAAATACAATATAGGATCCACTAATAAAGACAGACAGATGACAGCAGGTCTTCAACAACAGCAGCAGCTGTAACAAAAGAGAAAAGTTTCAGTGAGTGCAGTCAAGCATGACAAGCAGCAGCAGGCAGGTTAGGCTCCAAATTCTGCATACAGAATTGTCCCATGGATAATAGCCTAGTGGCCATTTGGTGATATGATAACTGTGTTCAATCCCTGTGCCAGGTAGTGTGTACTTGGACTTAATGGAAGCAGGTTATCTGGATTGACACATAAAGATGACAACAATTGGCTACATGTAAATAATAACCAACTCATGTTGGTAAAATTTTATATTTATATCAGCAATAGATTGTGTGAGTTTCAACTTAGCAATATTATTATTATAACCTGTCTTGGGGGATGTCAAATTTTATTATGTAAATAAGTTAAATGCAACTTATTTATAAATAAATCCAAAAGATATCAGTCATAGAAATAGATACTATCAATATATGAACAATCATAGAAACAATGACAATATCCCATATAGTTGAATAAATTACTATTTTTTGTATAGACTCCTTGACTTTACAAAATAACTTTACAAAATCAATGAATGAGACTGATAAACTTTTATTTCAATTTTATTTTTTAATTGCTTTATTTTTTGTTTGTATATTGTTTCCCATTCTCATATTTTTCTTTTAATGATGGCTCATTTTTCTATTGTGGCTCTGGAGAGGTTAGGGGATGCATCCAATCACTTGGAAACCTTTTTGGCAATGTGGGCAGAATTTGCAGAATGTGAAGGGGCATTGCTTTAAATAAAGATACACTTAAGCTTAAAGTTTCTTGCTTGTAACCTGTATCACTAAAAGAAAAAATATTTTTCAAGAACTTAGATAAATGCAAGTGACTTATGCTAACTATGCTAAGCAAACTTTAATTACAGTTCTGGGAGAGAGCACATCATCTGGCATAATCAACCATTTGAACAAGGCCACTAAGCTCAAAGCCTCAGTCACGGTGACTTGTGACTTCATACTAGCACAACCATCAACAGCCCCCAACGGTTCCATCATTTCACATTTAAATGAACAACTGTGTTAAATGAGACTGATAAATCAAACAATATTAGAAAATTAATTTACATGCAAGAAATGTCAAGATTATATGAAATCTTCATTTTACTTTGTTTTTAAATTTATGAAAAGTTCTTTTAAGATCCTGCTGAAAACATTCAATTAGGATTACAATTTTGCAAGTTCAAAAAAATAATAAAGAAATATGTGCATAAAAATTTATTTATGTTAAAAAGATAAAAATGTATGTCAGTGTATAATATAAAAGACTAACAAAAATGTCATCAAGCAGCCATTGAAAATTTTAACATTGATTACATGGATAAAAATGAAAAATAAGTCACAGCAACTAGAAACCTGTAAGAGTAACAATATTATAACCATTATTAGTAAAAACTTGTCAACTAATATTTCAAGAGTTGTTATTCTTTTTGCCACTTTCCACTCAGCAACAATTGGAAAAAAATCTTAAAATTGCTAAGAAAGAAAAGCCTTTGGAAAACTCAGCCTGAAATGAGTTCATGTGTATTAATGTTTTATTTCATTATAAAAAAAAAAAACAAAAAAAACTAGTGAATTTATTGTTTGGCCCATTTATCTGTTTATTTACTCATCAGTTAAGGGATTAGGTAGAAGAACTTTCTCTTGCGGTTACATTTTGATACTTATGCTTTAATATACTATTCTAATCTGAATCTCTTGGATATATTTTAAGACATTAAGGTGTATATAAACCTGCACACCTATATTTGATGTCAGAAAGAAATTTACTTTATTTTGAAGTTGACTTTAAATTCTCAGAGAATAGCACATCCAAATATTCAATGAAGCAGATAAATTTTATTAAAAAGATCTTGGGATAAGGCACTGCTTTAAGGTAAATATTTAGTGAACAGTTTCAGTTGGCCAAATTGTAAAGTTAGATATTTATAAAAAACAAAGAAAACATTTGTATGTTCATTCATCACATTGGTCAAATCAAACTCATTTTTTGGAACTTGATAAAATGGGCGGATTAAGAAACATGAACATTTGATAACTGGGAAAATCTCAGAATAAACTGATATGTAAGGTATAGGTCAATTTTAAAGGAAAAACACCAATAAGTATTTAAACAAAAATTGGATGCTTTGACTTATAAAGGAATTATTTTAATAGTTTTGTTGGTAGAACAGTTTTAATTGCAATATTTTGTAACATCAAAATTAAAGTCACAAAGGCAAATATTATTAAAGAGCAAGTACTAATATGGAATTTTGATTAAAATGATGACATGTAACTTTAAAGAAGTTACAAAAAACTGTTTAAAATTGTTAATATAAAACTGATTAACAAAAAAATTAAAAAAATCTAATTTGTATGCTTTATATTTTGTGTAAAGAAGTTCTGAGGAAGTGACGAAAGTATGTTACAACTCACAAATGACATTTTTCTTTGTAGCAAAAACAATTTCATATTTTTTTTAAAATCCTTTTAGAATTTATCTTAGTCAATATATAAAGTTCAACCCTATATCATGGCTTGTGGTTCAGTTGTTATGGGCAGTTTGGTAAAGAATAAAGTAATGATTTAAGTTGAAAAAAGAAAGCAAAAAAGTTTTTTTTGCTTTTTCTCCCATGATTTTTTTTATTTTTACACCAAGAAACTGAATTAGTGAAGTAATAATTTTGTTTTCTTGTTCAGTTGTGATTTTGCTTTATAACAATAAAGCAAAATCACAACTGAACAAGAAAAGAAATAAACGCAATAAAAAGAAAAAAATAAAGCCTACTCATACTGAATATCAATTTGGGCACTTCGACATGGTGTAATGGTCAGCAAGCTTGTCTTGCTAGATCAATTACAACTGAATAGAAAGTTAAATCCTCACTGGATGCTCCATACTTTTGGCCTTGTGCCACATCAAAATCACCATACTAAATAGCAATTATAGTCAATTAAAAAATTTAATGACCTAAGAAAAACATTTATCTGATTTAAGTAATAGCATTAATGAAAAGAAATCAGTAATTTTCACTATAACTAACAAGTATTTTGATAATCAGATTTTGTAATCTGGTTAATAAAAAATTAAATGACCTAAATTCCTTTTAAAACATCCACCACTTGATGCATTATTTCAAATTCAATTCAAAGAACATTACAATTTTTCTTAAGATTACTTTTTGAAATAGATTTAACAATCAAATTTTGCATCCAAATAGAAACAAAAAAAATATTTTGAAATATCTGTTCATTCTAATTTGTTTCTTTGTATAACAATATAAATACCAGCAGTATATTCAGAAAGGCAGTGTTGGGCTCAGACGAGCAGTCAAAAGTGGAGTTGTCTTTTGCAGCAATGTCTGCTACAACAAAGATGAAAAGCAAGAAAAAAAAAAAGAAAAAAAACAGAAAAAAAAAGTAAAAAAGAAAAAAGCAATTGTTCATGCAAATTTAAATATACAAAACACACACTTACAAAGAAAAATTTGTGTGTGTATGTATATAAGAATATTTTTGTTGTAAAAATTAGTGTATTATTTAACAGTGAAAGACACAGAACAAAAATATTCCTAGAATGAAAACTGAGTAGAAATTTTAGCTTTGATGAAGTCTCTTTTTTGATTTTTTTTTAAGTCATATTCCTAGAAAACTATGGGATAGAATTTTTATAAAGAAAAAGTTGAATAAATGTTTTGAAGGAAAGCAAGAAGAAATCTATGTTGTTGTCTGGTCCAAATAACCTGGATAATTCCAATGCTGCTATCTTGTGCTGTTTTTGTTGACAACATAAGAACAAAAGTTAACTTGCATAATTACTGATCAGATTTATATTCTTTACAAGTTGGAAAAAATTATAGGAGGGTGGCTGGTAAAAGTTCTGCTTGGCCTGACTAACTTCCCAAAATTTAATAAAATGACCAAACATCCTCAAAAACAAATTTATTCAAGTACAACAAATAAGTTAAAATCTCATTCAAATGACTTTTCATTCACATTTTTGTAAAAAATTATGCAGATAAAATATTTTTTCCACATAAGAGGAAACAGTTAAGGAATCTTCTTTCATATTGTTAATATGTAACACCTACCTCTTTAACATCAGCTAGAATGAAGTTTTGAATTATTTAAACTTAAGTTTAGGAATTATTATTAAATGATATTACTGCTGTGTTTTTGCAATAGTAAATAATTTGTATTAGCAATAATGGTACATGTAATTGTGTACTTGATAGAAATCATTTTCTATTTTTTAAAATTTTCTAGCATGTAACAAACTTTTAATCATGATCTACAATAAGATGAATACAAGATGCTCTACTTATAAGCTTTTATAGTATACCTTATATGCTGACAATAGTATAAGTCATTTTCTAATAAATATTGCATTTTATAGAGTGATCAAAGTGACACTAGAAGGCAATGAACTAAAAAGCCATATTAGTCTCACTGAGGACTAAATCATCCACTGAGGATTACCTTGATTCTAAGGACCAACAAAATTATAATTAAACCTACAGAAATTAATCATTTTTTTCTCAGAGTTGACTGTAAGTTGAGCAAAAGCCAATGATGAAATGTTTAAAGAAAAAAAAAAATAATGCTAACTACAGTAAATAAGATAACTGCAGTTGCATCAATCTTCTGTGACTGCTGCTCATTTATGAATACATGGCTATCTGGATGAACTGAAAAAAAAAAAAAAAAGTAGCAAAATAAGTTATAGAAACTGTTTGAATAAGGAAATTAAATAAAATTATATGGTTGGAGGCTATCCGAAAAAAAATGTATTTCCTTATTTTAAAACATTGGTATAAAAATGCAAACTTTAACATAATTTACATTAATTAAATGTATTAAAAAGAAAAGTTAAACAAAAATAAACAAAAAAAACAGTGATAATTGACATGTCAAATTGGTGGAACAAAATTTTAAGTTATATGGCTATGAATTATATATTTATAAAACTAAAACTAATTGCTTTTGTAATTATGAACATTGCAATTATTAAAATTTTAATTTAGATTTGCAGATAATAATATGCAGCATAAATTAAAATAAAAGATAAAATTGCATTATACAAGTTAAAAAATTAAAATTATTAAATATTTTTATTCAAACTTGATAAAAAAGTGTTCACAATAATTCTCTTTTTAAATCATTTTATTTTTAAACCATTTATTGTCAAATTTTATATTCATAATATAATTACATTCCAAATGCAATCAATTTTCATGTTGCATCCAACTTTCCTTTTCAAATAAGCCAAAATATTTAGTAAAAGTCAGAGATGATAGAAAATGTCATAATTAACAATTTGTAATTGAACTGTGAATTAACAACTGACCATTTAATATTTATATTTAATATTTTAATCCTTGAAACACTAAAAGAAAAAATGCACTAATGTAAATTATGAAAAGCAGATAGCAAATAAGGGACATTTTAGGATTGATCTATTGAAATAATGTTTTAGTAGGTTCCATAATTAATAAAGGAATGATACAATTTTATGTATATTTAGCAAAATAATATACAAATAATACCAATTCGATATTAAGAAGGTTAAGTCAATAAGATTAAAATTCATATTAGAAGTTTAAACCAGACAGAAATTTATTGAGAGAAAAATGAAGAAAAAAGTAACATTTGTACTTTTTTGTTTTAGCTAGAATTATGTGGTTTCAGAATATCTTCAGCTGAAATGGACTACATTTTTTTTCTTTCTTTTCTTCATATTTATTTATTCAGTGTATAAAATGATCATAATATAAAGAAATAAGTAGTCTAATTTTTCTGTAAAACAGTTATTTCACATTATAGCAAACACATTTTCTATATAAACAGAAAATAGAATAAACCAAATTTGACATTGGGATCTGCTGTTCTTTGTATTAAATTTTGAGATAGCATCAAAATTATTTTTTATTATGGACAGCATTATAATTTTTTTTCTAATTGGAAGCAACTTACATCTTCCAAATGGAAAGCAGCAATTCCAGTTTGGTCAGGATCAGAATTCCTGAAGGATGCTGAAACAAAAAGAAATTGGAAGAAACCTACAATCACCATTCTTACCCTCACAGTGCAAAAAGTTATTTTAGAAGCAAATGATTAGATTTGTGTATTTTATAGTTGTTCCTTTGTGAGTAGATACCACACAATTAGAATTTCCAGTCTGTGCTTTGATAGAAGAATATGATTCTTAAACATTATAACTAATACATACCAAGACAGGATTTGGATTCCTTTGATATACAGAAACTAATTAATACAATGTGACTAAACTTCTTTCATGATATTGTATTTAAATAATCAAAATTAAACAAGGCTTAAGTATATATATGTTGATGCTTACTGTACATTTTCTCAGTTTAAATTGAAAAATTAATAAAGTAAAAAAAAAAAAAACAAAAACAAAAGAAAAAAAGGGCAGTAGCAAATAACATTACAAGATCAAGTATATCAGATTATCTCCCTCTCTCTCTCTCTCTCTATATATATATATATATATATATATATATATATAAATTGTGTATTTGGGCAGCAATCCCTCTTATATAAGTTTCATTGGATATGATTTCTTTTCAAGGCAGAGTGTGCAAAACCTGTCCGAATGATCCAAGCTGCTATTATCTATATATTAGCTATTATCATGGATGCTTTTTTTGTTTAACTGAATATATAGATTTTCTTTTTCTTTCTCTCATATATATATATATATATATATATATATATATATGAAATATTAAATTCATAAAATTTCAGTTAAAAATTTTTTTGTAAATTTAGAACTTATAAAATGAAACAACCTGTAATTATTCCACTAATGAGGGAATTATTTAATTTATGCAGATAATTGTACTTGAGTACTTGTTAAAAACAAAATAATATTAACTTCATCTGTATTAATTTTCAAGCTGCAACCTATATTATCTTCAAAGATTAAGTGAAAAATTATTTCATTTGTGAATGTTTAATCAAAATACTTTGAATAATATATATGTGTGTGTGTATCTGTGTAGGGGAGTCAATTAGCATTAATAATAATATAAATATATATTTGTAGTTAACCTTCTTTTAACAAAAGGCAACACTTTTTTAGGAACAAGATTACTTCATTTCCTCATTACAGATTTTCTTGTGTTTAATAACTAATGTGAATGAAGAGAGGAAATTCTCCAAGATGGAGCCTCTCCAACAATGTAACAATGGCACAAAAAACACCTAAACAGATTTGCTCTTATAGCAATTAAAAGCAACATTTTCAACAACTTATAATTTACTGTTATTTTGGAAAAATTTGTTTAAGAAATAACACAAAAAAATGTTTTAATTTTAACTGTTGTTGTTAGCCTTGTAAATTTTATTTAATTAATTTTTCTTTTTGATAATATAATGGAGGAATTCAAAAATTCTTGGTGAAAATAGAATTTATTCATTCATTTTACAATAATTCATTGGCAACACCAAATTTATTGTCTAAATTTTTTTAGCTGATTTAGGACAATTTTGATGCGTTGAATCCAAAAATCACATTGGTTTTCTTCAATCAGGTCAACTTTTTGAGCTATGGTCACATACCGTTTTTCTTTTGATTACAATGTCATGGCCATTAAACTATCTAAATAAAAAACAATAAAACTATGTTAATTATAAACTTATTCATTTTAACCCATCAGAAGTATTTTCAGCCTAAAATAGCTATATAAATATTAAAAAACACATAACAAATTGCTTACATCTCTCTCAAAACACACTAATTAAACTGTACAATACAAAACCATAGAATACAAATCAGATGGGTTGTTTTATTAGTCATTATAATTTAGGTCTACCACCAAAATATTGCACGGACATAGTAGTAAGCATACCATGTGACTTTTTAGGGCCAATTAGGAATAAGTAAAATTATATAATTTAGGGGCCAATTTCTCAGGAATAACGGTATAAAAATTAGAATGTTTGATCTTAATGACAAGAGTATCTCAGATTCCACTTTAACTGCGGATATTCAAGACCTTATTTGCTTCCACACACACTATCAAGAAAAAACTCAGAAGCTTGGTGACCAGGATAAAGTTTGGGTATCACACATGCTATGTAAGACATGTACCAAGTATCTGCGTCAGTGGACCAAGGGCAAGAGGAGTTGTCTGAAGTTTGGAATTCTCATGGTTTGGAGGGAGCCAACAAACCATCGCACTGACTGCTACTTTTCTGCTATTGATGTGACAAGGATCAACAAAGTACAAGAGCAGCTTCAAATATCCTGATCTTCAATCAACATGTTGTCCTGTAGTTCACTGTGTTGAAATTCCAATATCTGTCTTTGGAGAACTTCCTGAGATTAGTGAGGAAAATTTCTCCAGTGTTCAAGAAAATGAAGAAAAATTTTTTTTGTCAATGATGCTTGACATCCATTTTCCAAAAGGAACTAAACGATCTAGTTCGTGATCTCAGTTTGTCAAAGTCCTCTGCCAAACTGTTGGCATCCATATTGAGGGAAAAATATCTCTGACCGTGCTTGCATCACCTTCTACAGCAACTGGCATCAAGAGTACCTCCATTTTTTCTCTGAAGTGAAGGAATGTGTACTGTGCAGATATTGTGGAGTTTCTGCACAAAATTGGAGTGCCGCAATACAAACCCATACACTGGAAACTGTTCATTGACACCAGCAAGTGATCACTGAAAAGTGTTCTGCTGCACAATGGCAACCAGTTTCTGTATTCCTCACTCATTCAACTACACTGAAGGAGAAATGCAGTTAAGTATGTGCTGGAGAAAATTCATTATGATCAGCAGGAGTGGTTTATTTGTGTTAACCTCAAGATGGTGAATTTTTGTTGGGACAACAGTCCAGGTTTACCAAGTACCCATACTTTCTGTGTATGTGGGATAATAGGAAGACTGCTCAGCATTACATGAAAAAGGACTGGCCTGTTTAGGAGAAACTGATGCCTTGCAGAGCAACAAATGTCATTTATAAGCCTCTGGTGGACAGAGACAGGATACTTTTCCCATCGCTGCATGTCAAGCTCAGCTTGAGCAAGCAGTTCTCCAAAGCTCTGGACAAACAGAGGGAGAGATTCCATCAGGACATGAAAGAGATGGAGACCAGGTACCAAGGATGCAGTCATGATAGCTGATTACTGCTAGACTTTTAAAAGAGACCACTGATCAATTCTAAGCATTCAAATAAATGGAATTTCAAGCCATGAATTTTGAACAATGATGTAACATGCAATTTACATGTACATACATTTAGCAATTTATTGTAAATTATGTTAAAAAAAAATTTTTTCTCTTAAAAACTTATTTCGTATGAGAAATATTAACAAAATTCAATTGATAATGTCACAAAAATGTAATAGATTTAGTCAGAAGATCAGATTTTTAAAAACTCAACTTAGCACAAAAACATGGCCTGGATTGGATGCCATTAGGAAAATTGTCCTAAATCATTTGGAAAAACAGACAACTTAAAAAAAATGTTTTTGTTGCTCAGCATTATAAATTCAATGTTGAATGCTAAATTTAATTATTCTTGGGATAAATCAAATGTTTACCTGGGGTCTATAAAGTAGAAACTGATAATGAAATCACTTTTTAAAGATTTTCTATTAAATTTTGTATAAGGAAAGCATTTACATGGGGAAATTATACAATTCATCAATAGGAAGCTGTTTTTTATAGTCTAAATATTTTTCAGGAGTTTGTGTCAATTCTTATTCCTGTTTTTTTTTTTTTTTTTTTTAAAAATTCAAATTCCCTAAAATATTTGATAAATTTTTTAATGTTTAAAAATATTTATAGATTGGTTGGAAAAAGTTAGATGTCTTACCTAAAATGGATTTCAGGCGAATAGCACACATGATGAAATCTGCAAAAGCAATTTGTCCCTCTTTGTTACTGTAACGTGCAACTAGAGTATGCAGTGAACTGTTGCTAAGTTTGAAACCTGCAAAAAAAGAGATTAAATTCATAGTAATACTTTAAAATCTGAATACAACTACTTTTTCTGTACCATTAACAAAGAAACTCTCCCAGAACCAAGCTCTAAAACCACTAGATCAGGAGGGTCTCAACCAGTAGGGAAGTCAGAGGGGAATTTCAGTGTAGGAATTGGAGCCACAGATTGGTAGACTCAAAATCTTAACTTTTGAACTCCTGAAGGTGGCATAATCTGCAATGTGCATTGGTCTTCTTAACTGAAGAGTCATGTTGAGTTTAATCTTTCCACCAGCAGAACCCCCCCCCCAAAAAAAACAACAGTTTACATGAATAATTTTTATAGAGTCTATGAAAATGTATATATACTAATATGAAAAAGAATGACGATTTTCCATAATATATGCATATTATTTGGAATGCAATTTTAAAAAGGTGGAGTGGGGTAGAACAACATTCTGATTTATGGTGAAAAGGGTGCATTGAACAACAAAGGTTGAGAACCATTGAGCTAGATTAAGTGCGACTCTTGCAAGCTGACTTTAATAGTCAAGACAAATGATGATTTAATTCCTACAAAACCTTATTATCAAATAGAAAATATGGATTTCCAGTGTATCTAAATACACATCCTTTAGATGGATGACTGAAATGATTGGAAATAGCATTACTATTACAATTATTAACAAAATTTTGCATTTTATTGTGAACAATTCAACTGTTTTCTGAATCAATTAAAAACATCCTGTTGCAAGAAAAATAAGAGATTAAATATCTATTAATTATTTTCTTGACATATTACACAAAGATTCAAGAAAAACTGAAAAGTATCAGCATGCAATGAAATGTTCCTCCAAGTACAATTTATATTGGTGTGAATCTAAAATATTTTAGATTTAACTGAAGGTTTATAGTGAATATACTGTATTTTACACAAACTCATCATAGAAAACTAATCTAAAATAAAGTAAATAACATTTATATTAGCTTTCATGAATTGGTACTGGATTTGTATTACCCAAAAGAAATGTATTTGAAACAATGATTTTATATTGCTATTTAGCCATAGGTAAAATTGCCAGCATTATATCAAGCAAAATCATTTAGATTAAGTTTTATTGTGAAACCAAGGTTAGTAATGGATTTTTTAAGCAATATAAATGACTATCATTTGATGTGAAAACAATGAAACTAACTTCAGTGGAGATTTCAGTATTGTTAAACTCACCTGCATTTCTTAGAGCTGAACGTAATTCATAAGAATTCAGGCAGCCACTATTATCACTGTCAAAATTTTTGAAATTTGCCTGGTGAAAAAAAATTAGATGTAAATTTTAGAAAAATAGAAGTTTAATTATGAAGTCATGTAGAGGTCTTATAGTCAAGATACATGAACAAACATATTTTATGCCTTAAATGACTTCCTGCAGATATTCAGTAGATTTTAGTTTTTATCCTTTCTAGAATTATTTTCATCTTCTTACAAAAATTAAAAGAATTCCATTCCAAGGTAAAAGCAAAGAAGTATTTACTTTCCAGATACGCAGATCTCTCCACAGGCTCTTGAATTCTTCAAATCCCAACTTGCCAGACATATCACCCTAAATATTTAGTTAAGGAAAACCAAGTGTTTGTTCCTTATGACAAATAAGTCACTTTATATATAACTATTTATAAAAGAAAATACTATTTTGGTGGTGAGGACATTTTTTATTAAAACTAACAGAAGAAAATGCAGATTGAAGTGAAAGAAAAGCCTGTTTATGCTAGTGTTCTAAGTCATCTCCAAAATATGTAATTAATCTGATGCAAAAACATCAACTAAAAGGTGTTATTTACCATGACCTTCACTTTTTATTCAAGTACTTTTCATAACTGATTTTTTTTTTAATCAAGACCATCATAATGCTTTCAATAGGGTTGTAACAATATGAAATTCTTTAATTTAAATTTTCAAGCTACAACATTGGAAAAAAAATACCTGGTTAAAGACTGAAGTTATAGTGGTTTATTCTATGAAAAATCTAAAGGAATTTAAGCATATCTTTCTAAATTGAAAAAAGAAAAAGACTCCATTAATTTATAAAGTAGGTACTTCCACTAATTCAGTATATGTAAGGTTTAAAATGATTTTTTAAAAATGAAAAAGCTTTCTTGATGCTTTAATTTTAGCTTTAATTGAAAGCTAAAGGATTTAAAATTTACTATATTTAGTAAGCAAAATAATCTGGTGTATTTCAAACAGATTATATTGATTGGAATCAATCTTTTTTTCATTAAAATCAATCAAAACAAACATTTCTGACTCATTTGTAAACAAAAGTTAATTCTTGTTTTTAAAAATCTTGCAAAAATAATATTTCTGAAATTTTATTTGAGGAAAATTATCAAACAAACAAATTACTTATAGCAAAAAATGTTGTATACAAATATTTCTTAACTTCTGGGCCTTGTTTTTCTGACATGTTAATCAATTTATTTACATCAGATTGATATGGTGAAGTAGACAAAGGTTTTCTTTTCACCATAAAGGGAAACACAACCTTTAAATACTAGATTTATTGGCTTTTACATCTGTATTTCAGAAATTCTGCATGTAATCACACATACAAACACAAATTGAAATTCTCTTAAAAATATTCAGGGTTGTCACATTGTAATATGCTTAGTAAATATAGTTAATAGCAATATTTCCTAAGAATTATCTCATTGAAAATGAATTTTAAGAGATTTAAAATCTTTATAAATTATTCAATTTAAAATTGCAAAAAAATGAAAACAAACCTTGTAAAATATTTTTTTTCTTCAGACAATGCTGTCTTTAATACATCTTATTCATAAAAGCAATTAAAAGCTTCTCTAAATAATATCTTAGTTTTATTGCATTTTTTATTTTTCAATTCAGAACAGATTCTTGGTAAGAAAGCAGAAAAAAAAATGTGATTTAAATTCTTCAAGGAATTCTGCTTTTAACTAATATAGTCACTAAAAATAATTTTGAAGTTCTCAAGTTTTCATAAAATTAAGTAAGGTAATGAAACAAATGTAAAAAAAAAAAAAAAAAAAAAATTTCTTTACCAAGATTTTCTAATAAAATAATTTAATTCATTTGTGAATACGTGTTGACCATGTTCACCATAGTCTATGAATACAGAATACAGCGCAGTACGTAATCTGTTCAATGAAACAACATTAAAGATTAACACTCATGAGTCAGACACTCTACTGAATCTGACTATATCGCCAATACCACCAGCAGCTGTTCCGTAATTCTTCAGTCTTTGATATCAAAGCCTGGCAGTAATATTTAGCCCCCCAACCCCTGAGTGTTACATGTGGCACAAGGCTGGGATTAACCTGGGATCTCAAAGCCCGTAGGCTTGGCCAAAAATATTCCCTATTTGAATGTGTATAAACGGGTTCAGGGGCAGTCAACCTCCCCGAACAAGACTTCTGCCCTTCAGCGGAGCCTTGTCTAGGTTATCAAAGGCTGGCAGTGCATATTCAGGAAAAACATGGCTGCCTTTATACACATCACATTGAATATTTTGAGCCTTCTGATTGGTTAACCCTTCTATTGGTGAACTATAAAATGAGTCAGCTCAAATAATGTGTGTCACTGCAAAAAAGAGACCAGAATTTGCTATGCTAAAACTTAGTACATTGACTTAGTACTTGACACATGAAAAAACTATTTATTTTTTTTTTTTTTTAATCAAAATTTCAAATGTTCTAAAAAGGAGTAAAAAATTTAATCAAATATTCAAAAAAATACTTTGATCCTTCCTCTTAATAACGATAAAACTGTTTTCATTACATTTGGAGCATGTTTACATCATGGTATGCTGATTTTTTTTTAGGGTTTTTGTGGAGAAAGGTGAAAGATTGGTTGTAAATTTGAGCCTTGAATTAAAACTGAAGAGTGCTTGGTTTAAATATAATGAAAACAAGGAAAAAATGAATATAAGGAATAAAAATGCTGGTTTGAAAATTAAAAAATTGGACAAAAAATAAAAAAGGATACATCATGCAAGGCCACCATACTGCGACAAGGTTCAATGCCAAATCCTTCAAAGTCAAATTCTGGATTAGAAAAATGAAAAATAAATTAAAAAGATGAATATAAATGAAAATTAAAATAATTTTTCTATTCATTATCTTGTGTTGAATATTGCTGGAGGCTGTACAAGATATAAACAAATTACTTTAAATGATAGCAAAAGAAAATAATGGAAGCACTGAAATTCACAGAATAAAAGTTTAATTGTAAAGAAAATAGAAATTTATGAACTTTTTTGACAGAATTTGCACCAAACAGCAGATGACTGGTATCATGAATTTCTTTTTTTATTTTCAAGCTATTATTCTCATTTATTTTTCCAATTTTGAAAATATTTTTTATAGTACTCCATTTTTAAATATCACACCAAATGAGGTTACAATAAATACCGACTTAAACATTGAAATTATATATCTGCTGCTTTAACTCATCTTAATGAACAAAACAAAGAAACTTAATGAAGAAAGCTAAAATAATATTTGAATCAAAAGGTTATATCACTGACTTGAACTCAACCATTTCAGTTCTATCAACATTAATGTTTATTTCTTGTACTACAGTAAAGCGCTATTCATTCTTCAGATTATAAATATTCAATTGTTTAGTTAGCTAAAATGTTCAAACCGGAAAATCTGAATTCTTAGCAATTACAATAACAACTGTAGTTCATTGTTTTCATGAAAACTGTCATTGCGAAGGTTAATAAAGTTGGATACACTAAAAATAAAAGCAGTTACAAATCAGTCCAGAGTTTGTGACAGCAGAACAGTGAGCAGCTTTTCATTAACTTTATCAAAAGGAACAATATTTTTAAAGTCTAAGTCAAAAATTTATTGTTACATTATGTTTACTGCTGGAATAAGATATTGATAAAACAAATTTAAACAGAAAATTTTCCCTGTTGATAGATTTGGTAGACTATCCATAGTGGTGCAGTAGTTTTAGAGACTGAGTACAAAAGCCATTAATAGTGAATTCAATCCTCATTGAGTGATACACAATTATGGTCATATATTAAACTAAATCTGTCTTGGTATATTTGAGTCCAAATAATGTGTTCTTTTATTTTTTATTTTACAGTGATATGATTGTACAGTTGATGGAAAAAAAACACTGTTTTTGCTTTCATAGCATGTGACAAGCAATTTTCAAAGATTTAAACAATATTTAGTAAATAGGGATATCCTATATTTTACACTTATCTTCTGGGTAAAATGGGTGAGCATCTTTTTAAGAGAAAAAAAGTGCATACAATTTAAGAAAGAAAAATGAGAATAATAATTTGAAAAAATTTATAAAAATTAAGAAAATTTTGTAAATAGAACAGGACTTGAAAAATGTTAAAATTGAATTTCCACCACCAATTTTCCTTGTTGTGTTTCCACCACCAATTTTCCTTGTTGTGTTTCCACCACCAATTTTCCTTTGTTATATCATAGACTGGGATAACGAGGAAAATAGCATTAAGTGTGCAAAAGTGAATTTATCAAGTGACATTAGTATTGTGGTTACCAAACCAATAACATAAAAATAAAAATTCAAGAAATACAGAAATACTGTTATAAGATAAAATAGCAAAAAATGTTTTATAGTTTATTAGATATAAAAAACTAAAAACTTCATCTTAATTGTTTTTAATACATTTTGCCTTATATTTTTCAGCTTTCCTTTGATATATAATACTTAATATTTTCTCCCATTAAATATGCTGTAGTTTGAAAGAGATCCTCAATTATGCAATGAAAGAAGACAATAAATTTGCAGAATATGGATTTCAAAATAATGCATGTATAAAAATTTATACAGATTTATAGTCAAATTCTAAAGCCAGCCATCATTATTGGTGCAAAGAGAGCAATAGTTTGTTGTCTATAATACTTTTTATAGTCATTGTATAGTATAAAGTGATCTTTATTTGCAAGACATGCACAAACTAAACAAAAATCAAAATAAGTTGGTACCAATCTATAAAAAACTAGCATCACTACTGAATATTAAAAAAATACTGAAAATGTACTCAGGTATTATAATAATATGACAGCTGCTTTCATAGCTATCCAGTACCAGCTCCTCACAACAGTTCGTCCTTTCATATAGAAATGATGTGGCAAAAGGTTGTAGGCATGATCTCATATTTACAATAGAAAATATAAGAGAAACTAGCCTCTGCAAAGATTAAAGTTAAAGAAAATTTAAAAGTCATTAAGTAAAGCAAGATAAGATCAGGCATGGAATCAAAAAGAGCATTTTATTTAGAATGAATAGACAAAAAATCATGATGTCTAAAGTGAAAAAAGCTGCACATAATTTTATTCCTTAGAGAAACAAATACCAAATAAAACTATTTTTGTCAGTTAAGATCTCAATGTAAAAATGTTTGAAATGTTTGTTTATTGAACTTGCTAATGCCTTCCATATGAGAGAGGTTAACAAAAAGTCTAATTCTTTATTAAAAACAGAACCAACGTAAAAAAAAAAAATATTGGAAGGTGAGGAGATGCTGTGACTTTGCTGTTTATAATTATTCTAAAGCATTGTCATTAAATCTTGATTAGTTTTTAATAATAAGTTAATAACATTGTATCTTTATTAAAATAAAACTACTTAAAAAACATACTCGAGAAAGGCTGAAGAATATATCAACTTAAACAACGTATTAAAAACAGATAGCAATATAACAAAAAAAAAAAACAATGCATAAGTGGACCAATTTGTGCCTGTGTGAGTATATATATATATATATATATTCATGCACGTTTCATTAAATAATATAGACAAGTGTTGTCTATTTATTTTATGTAAAATTTTTTCGTAACATCTGATAAGTTTAATAACATTATCATTGAATGAAGAAAGAAATTCATAATATTGATCCATATTTTTTTAATACAATCTAAGCTTTCGGCTTACATAAGCCATTATCAAAGACGTCAGTTACAACATATTAAACAATATACAGACACGACATATATAAATGGCTGAGTATTTCAAGTTTATAATTCTGAAATCAAACTGTATAATCGGAGTTATTTACACTATCTAGTCAAACTAAATATGTGAAATGTAAACTGTAAAAGCACTTTTCAAATTTGTCATCTTTATAATTGTAGACCATAGTTGTAGGAAGTGTACTGAATACAAGATGAAAAATGTTAGTCATCATTAAAACAGATTTTAAAGTATTAGTTTAATCCTAGGTGTAATTTCAATTCAATTTAAACTTTAATGAAAAATGAAAATTGTATGTAGTAATGGCAGTCAGAAAATGCAGAGAACTTCAGTATTTCATCTGTGATTCAACAATTTATTTACATAAGCAGTGGGCATCAGTTATCCAAACAAGAGTTTTTTTTTTCTTTTTTATTTTTTTCTGTTAACTGATCTGATCAGAAAAAGAGGAAACCATATTGAACATGTAAAGACATATTTAAAGTGTTTACTTAATTTTAATTGATAAAAAACCACAGAATACTTATTAATTTTGTGATATTTTACAACAAAAATTACATTGTCATTTAAATAATGAAAATATAGAGCAAAAAAGTTCAGGAATCATGGCCTCATTCAGAGAGTAATCAATCATTGTTTTACGAGGAAAATATCCAGTTGACAATATTGAAAATTAAAATCATATCTATTTGAAAATCATTATCAGAGACATTTAAAGATTTCCTCAGAATATATTATTGATTACATAATTCCTATTTATTAATTTTTTTAAATTAAAATCTAAAGAAATTATACAATAAGAAATAAGTTCAATCAAGTACTGGCATATTTGACAGAACTTTTTCATACTAAAAAAAAATTGACAAAGAAAAATGACATCATAGAGAGTAAAGAGCATTGAATCTCTTTAGACAATTTTTAATAAGATTTTAACTGATAACATTAAGTGCAATAAAATCCTTTCTAAAAGAAAAGAAAAAAAAATCACCATCAAATCATTTTTTCATAAGACAATTTTTGTGAAAATATTTTTAGATCAAAAAAAATTTTTTTTTTTTTAGAAAACAAATGAAAACTTAATTATTCATGCATTTAGAATAAGTCTAGCAGAGATAGGTGTTAACCACAATAGGTTTCAGGTAAAATTAAATGAGATGGTACAATAGAAAAGCCAGGTGAATTATTTTTGCACCATGCAGATAAAAGTGTAGAACATTGTTGGAATGATTAAAGGAGGGAGCAGTCGCTTCTAATAATTCTGGGACATTATAATGACAAAACAAGGAATATTATGTTATATACACATGTATGGAAGTAATTATCTTTTAGCATTTCAGACATTTCAATCCCTTGGCAGGGATGTTCAAAAGAGTTTTTTTTTTTTTTAAACTTTTTTCCTCTTAAGATAACTACAATTTTATAAAAAGTCTGAATTCTGATGAGTGGTTTATTCAGTTAAAATTAATAAAACTAACCTGCGAATTAAAACCACTAAAAACAGTATAGACAAAATTCCATTTGTATTTTTTAAAAATAGAGTGTTTCATAATTTCTAGTTAATAGAAATTGAAAATACTAAAAACTTTGTTAACAAAGAATGGAATTGAATCCATACAATGTAAACACTAGCTTGAATTGACCAAGAAAGACAAACCCTGCCTTTGGGCCAATTCATAAAATAATATTAAGTTGAAAATAAAAATTATAACATTAGAAAAATAAAATACATTAGTCCAATTAGATTTTAATAATTATTCCTAATGTTTGTGATTTCTAAATATGATAAATCAATTCTTGATCATTTTGGACTGGGGTATGGATGGAACTAAGAAAATGAAAATTCAATTTATTTACATACACAGCGGAACATCAGTTATCCAAACAAAGTGCTTTGTTCAGGTAACTGATCTGATCAGAAAAAGAAGGAACCATACTGAACATCTGAATAGCATATTTAAAGTGTTTATTGATTTTAAAAAAAAAAATGGAATACTGCTCAAAGATTTGATATTTTAAACAAAAATTGCATTATTTGCCATTTAAATAATGAAAATATAGAGCTAAATATTCCAGG